AATGGTGTTTCGCTTAGCGATGTTTTCCCATAGTGATGTTTTTTTGGGAACCAATTAACATCATTAAGCGAGGCACCACTGTAATTGCTTTTTCCATATTGCCATTAATAGTTAAAAATAAAAAACCCTCTGAGAACTGTTTACATAGTTATCTAGTTTACATAGATCTGCTACTACAACAATTTGCATATTAGAGATTGAAATAGGTACAATATTCACTAAAATAAAAGCCTTGGAAAACTAACTCGTAGAAGTCCAACAAAGGCAAAACACCCTGATTTTAATGGAATATTTATTATATTTATTTACATTGATTAGATTAAGATTGTACTATAATTTATGTAAATATGTGTTCTATATTTTTCAGGGCAAAAGAAGAGTTTTCGCCAATATCATGTACAGTTCTTTGGGGATGCTCCAGAACGTGCCTGGGTGTTTGAAAAAAGCCTTGTAACCTTCAAAGGCGAAGAACAATTTGAGCAGTTATGCCAGGAAAGTGCAAAGCATTCTCTTTCCAAAGCTGAGAAATTAAAGGTAAAGTTGGGCATTAGGTCTTAATAAAGCTACAGTATTATCAGCTTGAATATTCACAGGAAACATTCAAAACTTTTTTTGGGGGGGTTTATCTGTTACTACATCAATTGTGCAAAAACTTTTTTTCCCTCTTAAAAGCTTCCAAGCCTAATGTAAGCCTTTTGCATTTTTCCCCATATGAATGTAAAAGCTTCACTTGAGCATGTTCATACTGAGAATATTATGTGTGTAGGTTTTTTCTTTAAACGTTGATCTCTCTTAACTTTTTTTGTGGTATTCCCCACAGATGTTAAAGCCTGTTTCAGGAAAACTGCGTCCCCAGTGGGAAATGGGTGTTAAGCAAGCAAAAGATGCATTACACTTGACAGTGGAAGAACGAAAAGACAAGTATACCTTCATTTATATTAGGGGACGACCTCTTCTTAATCCTCAGGTGGCAAAGGAAGCAGGTCTTGTTGTGAAATCTTTGGAGGAAATGGATAAAATTTACACAGATGAAGACATTTCACAAACTTTGAAATCAAAGAAAGAATGTGATATTCCTGCAAAGAGGAGGAGGAAAGCAAAATGGCTTGTAACGGATGAATCTCAGGAAGTCATCACACCTGTTAAGAATATCACCCCTGAAAAAGTCCTTGAAGAGGAAGAAGCCAAAAGAGGCTCCGGGTCTCCTGCCAATAGGAAAAAAGCAATCACATATACTCCACGAAACAGAAAAGGAGATGCTGTTTCTCAGTTCTTGGTTTTCTGTCAGAAGCACAGAGATGAGGTTTGTGCTTTCAGAACTTGTGTTCTGAAACTTAATTCTTCGTTATACAAATGTTTTTCTCTGATCGTATATCAGAAGTGCCCCATAACAATCTGGTATATGAAACCTGTATTCCCTTTTCATATACACATAAAGCTTGCTCACATATTTGCACACATCTCCTCTTAACTTCAGCAAACTCAGGCTTCACATGTGGGACTATTGCTTTTCTCCTACTGACAAATCTGTTAGCTTCAGCTGGTAGAGGATTAACAGGATTTGAAATGCGGTGCTCCATTCACTTTGTCACACTGGTTCTGTACACTGCATAAATACTTTGACCGTGATCCCAAAAGCTGCATTAGATACATGGATGCAGAGATGTGGAGGGCCCACATAACGTCCATAATTTAGTGAAACAAAGTTCAGCTAGTTGTGAATCAGATTTTTCTCAACTTAAAATGGAATGGAAAACTAGAAAAGAGTGAGGGAGTGAAAGTCAAGGTACTGGAATTATACCTCAGCAAAAGAAAAACCGTTGATATAAGATCCATCAGATACAGCTTTCTTTAGATTTTCTTTATTTGTATCAGAGCGTTGCACAATTATGGATGTATATGAAATACAGGTAACATTAAAAACAAATTAAAACATTAAAGTTATTCTGACTGTTATTAGAAATTGACTACTTCGTTAGCCTTATTTCAGCCATTTGCTAGGTCTTCTTTTGTGCACACGGTGGGGCATAAATTGCATGCACATAAGTGCTACATTGAATGAATTTCTCCACAGTCAAAGAAAATTTGTCCTCTATCCAAGTAGACCCATGTTAATTGATTATTCTTCCTACTTCTTGCTGAATGAATACTGAAGAGTTTCTCCTTAGATATGTGTCCTTAAAAAAAAAAGATGGTATTCTTTCAGATATAACCATGTTTTGTTGAATGTAAGGGAATATAGGCCAGAGATTTTGGCAAGTCTTTGGGTCCAAGTCTGAGTCTTTGGTACTGAGTCTTAAGCCCCAAGTCTGAGTCTCATGTTTCATTAAAAATAAGGGTTTTTTTTCACAGAAAAAAGGGAGGAGTGCACGGGGGTTTATGTGGGATGTGTTTGCGGAGGTCTAAAACTTATGAGCCATCTGCTTTTGTGCCCCTCTCCTTCCCCTGAAAACTTTTTTAAAAAATTCAAATGTTCAAAAAATCTTGCTTCACTTATCTTTTAATCAGCTCAATTTTCTGGCGGGAATCCTCTTTTATTAACAGATAGAGCGGAATTGCACTGCAGAAATCTTTCTTGGCTTGTGCAGGATTCCTCCCACCTTTGCCCACATTCACCTCTGGGACCAGGTGGGTTGAGTTACTGCTAAACATGCTGTCTGAGGTCTTACCTGTGAGTTTTTGTATCATTTGAGAGAGAGAGAGAGCATGGGTGACTTCTTGAGCTGCTGTCCTGCAAGAGAGAGAGAGAGAGAGACACTTCCTCTCTGCAAAACGATGAAATGTTTTTGCATTGTTTTGCAGAGAGGAAATATGTGTGTCTCTTGTAAGAGAACAGTTCAAGAATAAAAGAAATCACCTGTGTGCAAACATACTGCAAAACGATGCAAAAACTTGCAAATAAGAGTTCATACAGTAAATTTAACAGCAGCTCCGCCCACCCAGTCCCAGAGAAACAGCCTTCCTCACTCACTCCCCTCAGTCAGAGAAAAAGAGAGAGAGAGATGAGTCCAGCTATCTTCTACAGTGCAGTTTCACTCTGCAGCCTGTTAAAGTAGGTTCCAAAAACCCAGGAGTCAAGTCCCAAGTCAAGTCACTGGTGTGACTTAAGTGAGACTTGATGGCAAGTTACACGACTTTAGTTTCCATCTGTGGTATAGGCTATCCTCTTTACATTATTAAAAACATTTGAGTAAAATAATTTCCACATAAAGCTTTGAATGTGTTTGAATGAAAAATGTAAACCAAACATGCTAAATCAGAACATTTATTTAGAACACTAGAAATTTCTCTACTTTTTTTTTTGAAACCTGCATCGCTACATTGATCATACAGTATTGTCTGCTCAGCATGCATTTTAAGGTCTTTGATATCAAAAGTTCTAACAATGTCTTGTATGTTATGATGAAACCGGCTGACGTATGGGATCACTGAAAAAATGTTTCTAAGTGAAATGTAAATAGATTCCAATCTCATCATCACCTCAGTTTTTTATTCCATAGATGGCATATATGCCTTGTCTGTCGTTCAGACTCAGATTCTCCACCTGTGGTAGGGATATGCTTTTCCCCATTTGAGAGATCACTTTGGGGAAGAGATTTCAGCTGTGAAAAATATGTAGAGGAAAAAATTTATCTCTGCACATGTGTCTCATACCAAACCCAGTTCATGGCCACTTCCTTTTTCCTAAGGGAAAAAAACCATAGTGTATTGAGATGTGTGTTTGATTTATAATCTGTGGTATAAAATTGGACTGACTGCAAATACTCCTCTAATTTACAACAGATATGATTGCTCCACTTGGTGACATGCCCTGGCAGTATTTTACTGCATTTTACTTTGGGCATTTCAATCTGAATATTGTTAGTCTTAGTTCACCTTATTTTATTGCTGATTAGTTTTGTGCCTCTTGTGAAAAGCATGTTGATTGGGATTAATACAGTGGTGCCCCGCATAGAGACAATAATCTGTGGAGCAAAAATCGCTGCGAAGCGATTTCGTTGCTATGTGAAATTAAAAAGCCCATAGGAATGCATTGAAACCCCTTCAATGTGTTCCAATGGGCTTAAAACTTACCTTTTAAGCGAAAATCCTCCATATGGGGGCCATTTTAGCTGCCCGGTAAGCGAGGAATCTGTCCCTGTTTTACCCGGCAGCCATTTTGGAACCGCCGATCAGCTGGGGAAAAATCATCGCTATGCAAAAATCGGTAAGCGAAACAGCTTACCGATCATCGCAAAGCGATTTCCCCCATAGGAAACATCGTTATGCGATCGCAAAAGCAATCACAAAAACATCATCGCTATGCGGATTCGTCGTTAAACGGGGCGCCCGTTATGTGAGGCACCACTGTATATCCCTTCAATTACTCTACTTAACACTAGGCACAGTTGCAGCTAACATTTAAGTGTCTGAATTTATGGTGAATTTATGTTTCTTTTCTTACACTGTTGGTATTATCTTTGCTTGATTCCAAATTTTGAGTTTAAATGCCATTTGGAATCAACAATATTGTAACTGAAACAAGCAATTAACGATATATGTTTGAATTTGGTCTATGATCAGAGACATTAAATAACTTGGTATGTGTAATTCCTCTTGGATGGTTGGATATGTGAGAAACTTGTTTATGGGTTCAAATGTAAGTTGCAGAGAAAATGTGACATGTCATAGAAATCCTCCCCTAATGATCAGTTTCTGGTCTAGATTCCAGCAGTTTGGCAGGCATTTCACATATATACTTCTGTTTAAGTGCTGTGATATTAATAAAAGAAGCCCTGATCACAGTTTAAAGATAGCATAGAGAGATTTTAATAGCCCATATATAGCTCATCATATTTTTCTCCTGCCTCATTACAGAAAAAAAACTGCTTTCTTTGAAAATAAGTATTCTGGACATTACCTAGTATTAATATAGTTTGAGTTCCAGTGGAAGATCCCTACAAAAGGATTGGATGAGATAGGGAAAAATACCAGTCCTGTGCTATTTGCACCTAAACACAGCTGTAGAATCCTTTCCATGAGGATTAAAGGAGAGCTATTTTCAGTAATCACTAATTCATAAAGTTATGTGAGATGATAATAGGAAATAAGTCACTTATATTAGACCTTTCCTTGGAGAAGTCAGTTATAGTCATGATTACCACATTGAGATCTCCCGAAATTGTATCTCTTGTGCTGAAAAATAAAATACCTGTTGACTAGGTGCAGTCAGGCTTAGCATCCCAATGTTTTAGTTCCATCTTCAGTTATCACATGCAGCCTGCTGATATCTGAATTCTGAGGGATCAGCAAAGCCTATAGGTTCTTAAAATAGAGACAATCTTCTCTACAATGAAGAGTTTTAGTTTTATTTATATATTTATTGACTGAGTTCAGGGACTTGATGGCATTTCTCTCCTTTCTTGGTATGTTGCTTTTGGGGGGTTTTGCTTTCCGTAGGATCCTAGTCACTTCCCCTCTTATTTCCTCTGCTTTTTCTTCTGGAAGATTATATAATGCTGATTCCACGTTGGCAATTATGTCTTCCACAGGAATTTTGCTGGGTGTTACTGCAAAATTTCTTCCTTTGCTTAAGACTGATGTTTCTTCTGGGGAGAGTTGGCGTCCCGATAGGTTGATGATGCTGCGCGTGGTGTCTAGTGTAGGTTTGTTTGGCATTAGTTGAATTTCTGTTTTTGTCTGGCTGTGTGGTTCATCATTTCTTTTTCCATCTTATTGTAAGAGAAGGTATCAATCTTGTCCCAATCTTGACTTCTCATTTTTTGGCTGATAGTGATGTGTAGGCCTAGTAGTTCTTTGTCTGTGGAGTCCAGTTTTTTGCAGAAATAAGAGAGGAAGTGACTAGGATCCTACGGAGAGCAAAACCCCCCAAAAGCAACATAACAAGAAAGGAGAGAAATGCCATCAAGTCCCTGAATTCAGAGCCGGACATCATCATCCTGCCAGCAGACAAAGGCTACGCCACAGTAATCATGGAAACAGAACAATACAAAGACAGAATCAGAGAACTTCTAGACCCCATCACCTACAGAAAACTGAAACAGGACCCAACCAACAAAATCACAAAAAAACACAACATGCTGATCAGGAGTTCCTCCCTGCAC